TGGCTGAGGCTCTCTCATGTTGGTATAAGCCCATATCACATTGGCACCTCATTTTCATCACATTTTACCATTGCCTCGGTTTGCGTGCCCGTGTGCACGCATTTTGAGGCACCTCATTTTCATCACACTTTACCATTGCCTCAGTTTGTGTGCCCGTGTGCACGCATTTCGAGGCACCTCATTTTCATAGCATTTTACCATTGCCTCGGTTCGCGTGCCCGTGTGCACGCATTTCGAGGCACCTCATTTTCATCACACTTTACCATTGCCTCGGTTTGCGTGCCCGTGTGCACGCTTTTCAAGACATCTCATTTTCATCATATTCTGCATTTTCTCGATTTGCGTGCCCATGTGCACGCATTTCAAGACATCTCATTTTCATAGCATAATACATACTAGGTTGTATCTTAGATTACATTCTGTCATTTTGTCGGTTTGCACGCCCATGTGCACGTATTTCGAGGCATGTCATTTTCATAGCATTGAGTATGTTAGGATTGTATCTTAGTTGCATTTCATGCATATCATGCATATTGCATCGTGTCCGGAATAGGAGTTAGTCCGGGCACGGGAAACGAAGTGCATTTCGTACTCCGAGTGACGGAATGTGTCTCAATTCCCTAGTCACCGACACTCCGGATTTTCCATGATGGAGTTAGGTTTTAGCTGTAGTTTCATGTGCATTCATCCTATATTGAGTTGTGCATTTCGACTCCTCGGCCATCATGCCTCGGTATGCGTGATTGGTGGCACGAGGATCGAGACATGCATATATCTGTGCAAATACATTGCTATGCCCCTTTCCTGCTCTCTGTTGCAGCAAAACCAGGAATCAACAACCTTTTGGGGCTTGGCACGCATTTCAAGAACAGGTGTAAACAGAGGCTAATTGGGGCATTCCGGTGGATTTCCGCGCAAGACAATCCGGACATGCATCATCCACTAGAAGCAAGGCAGTCCCTGGCTTGCATGCCAATTTTACTTGTTTTCTTAGTTAATTCTTTAATTAATTGGAATTTTGTAATATTTTTGGACTGTAATATTCTTTTATTTGGGGACTGTAATATTTGGACTGTATATTTATTCGGACCCTCCGAGTGAGGGCACAACTGTAATAAGTGTGCGTGAGTGTGATGTATGTCTTCCAACCCCACGTCTTTCTCCCTTTTATTTATCCGCTTAATTGGTCCAAGAAGCAACAAAAAAAAATTAAACCAAAAAATAAAATAAAATAAATAAAAAAATTTTTTTTTTTTTCTTTCCCTGGAACAGAAAACCCTTCTGGTTGTTCCATGTAAATTTCTTCATTTAACTCACCATTTAAGAAAGCGGTTTTCATATCCATTTGATGAATTTCTAGATTGTATGGAGATGCAATGGCAATTAGCATTCTAATGGATGTTATTCTAGTAACCGGTGAGTATGTGTCAAAGTAATCAAGACTTTCTTTTTGTCTAAAACCTTTGACCACAAGTCTTGCCTTGTATTTGTCAATTGATCCATC